AAAAAAAAAAAAAAAAAAAAAAAAAAAGAAAAAAAAAAAAAAAAAAAAAAAAAAAAAAAAAAAAAAAAAATAGTTGCTTCACTCCCGTGTAAAAAGAGCGGATACAAAGACGACGAAGAAGAAAGGTGGAAGTGGAATCCGTATAAAGGTAAATCGGAACGAGCCGTGCGATATTTCATAATTTACCTCAAATACAGATAAAAAGCGTGTACGAGTGCTCGAGAAGACGCTCTATTTTCCCCTCAGTGCTTTATGGTATCGCATACAATTTTCAACGTCGCGTTGGAATAAGACACAAAAATGGCGAGTACCAATGTAGGACAGGTTAATGAGGTACGAAATGTTAAAGCGCAAGGACTTTCTTCTTTTTTTTTCTTTCTTATCCTTTTTTTATGCATTTTAGTAAACAGTGACATCAGCAGCGTGTTCAGCATACGCAGAGAGGACAAGCAGACAGACAGATAGACAGACAGACAAACGTCATATACACGCATACGTACATTGACAGTCAAGATCAAGCTCGCACACAGACACCAACACAGTCACCGAGCCGCACGGCCCTGACTTTTACCCCTAGCGCGAGCACGGATATTCAATTCTGAGATTCAATTTCAAATACCATCTGGTTGGCAGATAAGGGACGTGTCGCAAAGTAGAACCAAAAATTTTTTTTTTCAAAATCCATAACGCCGATCGTTCAAATCAGTCAGAAGAAGATTCTCGAGTTTGGACAGAGAAACGAGAGTGTCCAACCGCCCTTCGAGATTAATGTCGGCGACCAATTTTTGTTTTTCAAAAAACAAACGTCAAATTCTAGCCAGCTTCGTATACGTACTATATATAGATATATACAGCACGGAATCCCTTTGAAGTCGCGACTCGAGTTTCTCGTATTTTACATCTTCTCCTTCGTCATTCCTCTTTCTCCCTTCATCCCTTTCCAGCGCCACAGTATATAAAGTGTCTGCGTCTTTGGCGCTAACCCCACCCCGTACTCTTGACTGGTGAAATCGATGCAAAATACTGGGCGCGATTTCAAGGAATCGGCGACGTGTCGCAATTAAATGCCAACCAATGATTTCGCAGGGACTCCGACTCGACAGAGAACTAGCGAGACTGTTTAACGAAGTTAAGCTGTACGATAATAAGATATGCGTAGGCGCTACACAGTTGTGACGTCAGAATAATAAACATACCCTGCCACAGCGTTAAAAGAATCAAATGTAAAAAAATCGATCGGATCGAAGACGTGTAATTAAAAAATTTAACATCGACGCCCGATCAAGTGGCCAATCAAGGTATGTACCGATAACTATTATTGAGACTGCACAGTGTACTTTCTAACGCTTAGCACATTAAAGTGACGCATATACGATATAAATAGATATTTTCGAAAATATTGATATATCGTTGTTCGTAGCGACCTATGTAGATTCATTGATTTTTTTCTTTGGTACATACGGTAAGTGAGGCGTGTAGGTACGAGTACAATACAGGTTGCTGACGGAATCTCATGTGTTTCGTATAGATCGTATATATATGTGTGTATACGCGTAATAAATTATTAACACGTGTCCCGATTAACGTCCCCTCGAAACAAGGGATGACGATACTAAGCAAATACGAAATACATGGGGATCCGTATCGCGGCCGCATAGAGGTATAGGCATGAGGCAGAGGTAGCCGGTAAACGCTAGAAATCGATAGAGTATTCTTTGTATACGGTACGTGGCTTTAGTTCCTTGTAGAAAAGTTCGTTATCCAAACTATTAGATATGGTATATATCGTATTTTAAAATGACCGTCGATATACGTAATAACGCGAAGGGACCTTTCGATATATATATATTTTTCTTAACTAGGTATGGAAGTACAAGGTAAAAGCTGCCTGGTTACTTAAGCTGATATTTTACTTTATAAAGACCTAATCCGTGGACCCGGCCATTCTCCTCTTGCGACTGATCGATGCGATCCTCTCGCACGATTTGGCTCGATCGATCCTCGTAATAGGCATTTTCATAGCGGACTGGAACGTGTGGTTAGAGTTTTGGGGATACCAACCGTGCTCCGTTTTTTTTTTGCATCGATACGAAGGATTCGTGGACGTAAGGAAACAATGTGATTTCTTTGATAAAGATGGCACCGACCGATCGGCCATTAATTGTATTATTATTACTATTATTATATGAATATAATATTTGTGTATATCGATGACTGACCTCCCGATCAAGAACCAATTCGTATTGTGTGAATATACAAACGAAACGAATTAAGTCTTTATATGTAACGGTGGCTTTATAATGTGTGGTACACGTAACGTTTATCATATATATGTATATACGTATTGTCCTAGTGTAATAGCACGATACTAACGAGTATCATGGATTTCGAATATTTTTTTTTTTTCAAATTTTTTTCCGACTTTAACCTAACGTAATTTCAATGCACCGGTGGAGTCTTTTGACATGATTATTTTTTATTATAAAATTTTATCAGATTACATTGATAAACGTTACGTTACGGAGCTCTCGTTTGAACGGTGATACTTATTTCGTTTAAGAATTTTTTTTCTTCAATCGAGCGTTATTAGGGTAGCTTTTGTTACGTAAATTTATGTCTCCTGAGATTAATTTAGATACGTATTAATCAACGGGATATACACACGGGAATGTTATTGGTTGATGGCATTCGCGCATACACCATGCATCACCATTCAAACAAAGCATTCATTTTGATAATGTATGATTACGTCAGTCGGCAATGGTTCGCGGCCTGGAATTTTTTTAACGAAAAATTGTTTTCATCGTTATAATAAAGAAAAAGAGTTGTACCGTTATCGATCGATATTACGAATTACGAACAATTGCCAAATGACCATCTAGACTATGTTCTTTATCGGGACACAAGAACGCGCAGTTGCTAATCTCGTCGAACATTAGGTACTCAGATAAATGTATAGTACAAGTAGGCATATATGCATACAGTAGTTGAGTGGATAAGATACTTGAATAATGTAAAAGTAAAAAAAAAAAAGATTAAATAACTTTGCACGCGCTACGAAATGTTCCGGGACACTGGCAAGTGCGCGCCATCTAGTACGAGATATGAGAGAAGAGTGCGAAGCGAATGATAATAATAATAATAAAGAGAAAATAAAAGTGTATCCTCGCTCGAAAGCGCCTCGACGCGTCGTAAAGTTCAACTTTTCGCGAAACTTTTCCAAGACCGCAAGTTTCCGTTTTACGAGAGAATAACAAGTGGAAAGAAAAATTGCAGAGTTTCATCGCGCGCTTTCACATCTCTTCTCGGTAAGACGCGTGAACTGCCTCTTGCTGCATAGAAGAAAAAAGAAAACAAAAGAAACATACGACATACGATAATATTTAATAACAAGATTTAATAACAATTAAATCTTGGACAGAATAAATTTGTCATGATTAAATATTGCCAATTAAACATGAACCCCGTAGTTACGTAAGAATTAAGTTGATTCTTAAAGCAGAGGAGGCAGTCAAGGCTCTCGTGAAGCGTGTTACCCACGTTGGGTATCACAATTAATTATTGGCTTATGATACATCGAGAAGAAGCGGTCTCAAGATAAAGAAAAGGATTCGCTTACCAAACCGACGAGTAGAAAAAATACTAGGAATGTGCGGCCGAGAATCGTCTGGCAGAAAACATCGCCGTATCCTACCGTAGACATTGTCACGATCAAGAAATAGACGCAGGTCCAGTACGAAAGATGTTGCTGGTTCTTGAACTCGAAAGGGTCCCCTGAGTTTTCAAGCTACGATAAAAATGAAAGAAATGACAATGATACACTTTCGAAATACAGAGTCCCAAAAGTCAAAAAAGATATAGGTAGTTGTGAAAAAAAAAAACAGTCCTATACCCATAAGAATCATTGGTCTAAGTATGTCCAGTATGAGCGAGGAGCGCGCAAGTGATTAATGAAACTACGAATTATGGCGTCGCGACGCCGAAAAAGTAGGTCCATAGTCATAGGTCAGTTCTTACCAAATGAATGATGCCAGCAGCAGTGAGCCAAACGGAGATGAAGATTGAAACGAGTTGGGCGAGACGAATGGAGCTCGATGTCTTTAGAATGTTGAGGTACTGGAGGATGTCAGGGACCGTCATCAGTCGTAGGGCTCGGAGGAACCTCAATCCGATCCACGTCCGATCCAGATAGATCGAGACGAAAGACGGTGGTATCGTAAAGTAGTCCACGAACGAATACATCTCCAGCATGAACCACAGCTTGTCACTGGCGGCGATAAACTGTGAAGAATTGAAAGTTGGAAATTAAAAGATTTTATTTCTGCGAAAAAAAAAGGACGAGATAATTTATAAATACCTGAATACCTTAATACAGACACAATGGAGTTATTGCGATAAGGCTAATGCTAATATTATTCGAGGATATTCAAAGGGATGATTTATTCACTTCCTGGTATGATTAATTCGCATGATCGTTAGAGAATTTATATGCACGCTTCGAACGTGTGAACGCAGCCTGTGGCTTAACAATGCAAATCGATTTTGGCGACAAGTATGGAGTGAACTCGAGTGCAGCTGATATGGTGAATAAATTTTCAGCGAAATCTCCATAGATCGTGTGATAACGTCACTTTGAGATTCGCCGATAGCTTTCATTAACAATGGAACTAACTTGGTTATCGATTATATATAGATATATATTGCTATGGACATATTGAGCTATTACACATTCACTGTGTATACAGTATTTTATAGTGAACTTTATATACTTACGCGTATAAAAAAGTAGACCATAAAAAATATATTGAAAGCTAAGTCTATCTGCTGAGTAACGTTGTCGCTCCACTTCTGGCATTGCTCCACCTTGTCGCTGCAACAAGGTTAAAGGAAACAGTGATTGATAAGTCTATTTGAATTTATCATTCTGCATGACGCGAGTCACCGTATGCGACGTGGGCTTTTTTTTTTATTTTCGCATAAGTAAATAAATCAAAACGAAAACAGAGAGTATAGATATTTACGTTAGGAGTAGCATAGAGTGAAAAATTAATTATTTTGCAAATCATTTTAAAAATTCCAGGACAGTTCGCGTGTATGAAAAATTAAATAAATCCTTGATTTAATCATAATCGATTTGATATGCAGCACATTGAAGTCTGCTTACAAAATTCGTACGAGATACCCAAGTTATTTTATATACAGTAGATTCCCTATTTTCTTCGACCCTTCGGGGGATACTTAAAGGAAATCGGAACCGTGTTGAGAAGGCTGAATGGATGCTTCGAGAGGAGCTACCAATCAGTCAATAGCTGTGGTAGGGATGTACGTCGATGAGTCGGAAAGATATTAGTACATATTTTGGTACCCCGCTTTCGAGTGGATAAGAGTGGGGACACCGATGAAGGGGAACTCAAAGGAATGGAGGGGTAAGAAAATTGGGATTCCACTGTACGAATAACGAGTTTGTTGTAAATTACTTGAATGACGTCACCCAGGGCTATCCTTAATGACTTTTCTTTGTTCGCTTATATCGAGCCTGTGGGGTTGAAAACGAACGGTAAGGACAACTAATTAAAGTCTATATCGCTACGAATTAAGATTCAGGAGAGTTTATGCTGGTGCTAAGGTATGTCCTCTTACTTGGAGGCATCGACGAAGTATATTATAAGCGATGCTATGCTGAGGATGAAAACTAGCACCACCTGAAACATTTAAAAGAAAAATCATTTATTATTAAACGAGCAGAACTTTCAATAGATTTAGCATGAACTGATTAGTGCGGTCTGACGCGACCAAGAATTGTAGGTAAGGTGTTAATTAAAAAAAATAGTAATCGCCCTAGGAATTCCGGTTTCCGGTGATAACTAGCACGTTATCGGAAGCGAAACTTGTATTCAGGATTTTGTAGGACACACTTTTCACGTCAAGTTACGTGAATTCGACACGATCGATTTGACGCCACATAAAATTACGTTGATCGACTACACTTGCTCAGGTCCTGATAAAATTTGCGAATGTGAAAACCACGTATTTTTTTTTTAAATTCACCATGGAAAAGTAACAAAATATTACTTGCCATTAAGTGGTATTAACAAAGGAGCTCGCTAGCAGGCATACCAACGCTTTAATAAAGTCGACGTTTCTAAGGTTACTCAGTTAGGACCTTTATCATTGAAAATTCCAAATCAGACTTCGTACTGTCTTAGATGTCCTGGAACGTTAGAGACGCCTGACCTTAACTATACAAGAACAGCAAAGCATCTTAAGGATTTTAATTACAGCCTCGGAATGACATAGGATGGACGTCACCATCAGGACAAGATCCCAAGGACGTTCAATGTACATGCGTACGATCATATTTGATCCTTATAAAAAATCAGTCAATATAGCCTATTGTTCGTTTAATTGAGATTTCATAATTAAAATTTTTTTTTGATAACTGATAACGAAAGGATGCAAGTAATATAGCACAGCATTATTTTTGGGCCAAATGCCTACCTACTTATATCCAAATGAGAATTGAACTCGGGGTGTATCCTTACGACAATTGCTAAACTTTCTTTTGGTATCTGCCAAGAATTTTATGAACCACGTCCAAAGTCATTATCTTGGAAGACCAAAGTGGTACCAGTCAAAAGGGGCATGCTTTGCAAAGCTGCCATGAAGTATCTTACGCGTCGTTCAAAGCCATCCTATAACGTTATCTAATTCCAACAGATAACAGAAAGACAAACACTCGAGCTTCAGTAACGAAATACTTGAGTAGGTCCTGATCGATAAACCTTAATCGAAAGGCTAATTCTCAATCGATTGATGTTTAATAAAAACGATATTCTTGACAAGTTGACACACAACCAGCCACTCCTCCATAACGATGGTGACTATCAAGTTTTGTAAGAGGATAGTAATTTATATAATTTTTTTTCTTCATAAACTTTCATCTAATCTGTCAATATGACAGCTGCTATTAGAAAACACGAATTGATAATCCTTGATTCCCATAATAATTTGCTATAAAAAATAAAGAGATATCACGTTCCGCGGAACACAACCTATTAGTAGACTGGCTGCAAAATTCGTGACTATGGAGATAAAATATTTGACGTTCGTAACGATTGCACGATACACATGGAGCGATGTCGCGGGACATTAACGAGTTTCGGAAACGGGATACGCGACTATAAAATATTTCATATCCGTCTGGGCTTTCCGACGATGTCGCCTATACACGCTGTTATAAAATAATTAATGATCTTTACCAGCGGCCATGTTTGTTTTGTATAAACACAGAAAAAGAACTCAGCCAGTCGTCAAGGAGTTTGTTAAAGAATATTTTAAGGCGATCGTTACGATAATTATTCTTCGATTGATATTAACAATATTTCTTATTCACGTGCCTATATTTCGTTGCTTCGGCGTATTTTAGTGTGAACGCTCCTTAAGCGTACGGCGCGATGCGTACGCGCACGCCAGATCAATACGTGTCCCGAGAAGCAGCTACAGTCAGTCCATTACCATTTTCAAAGTACCTACTAACGTAACTTTGCTGTACCTAATGTAGATACCCGAGGGAAATTGAAGTTCACTTTGGTGCCACGTGAGGACATATAGTCCATAGGCCTTCTTTTTACGTAAGCTTTAAAAATACATAATTACCAAAAGATAATTTTAACTACTGCTTCACGCTGATACCAAAATTATAAAATAAACATAAATTAAATTTTGACCACGCCAAAAAGAATGTTTAATAACAATATCTACATTGAAAAATCTAATACACGCTCGATCATCAAGAAGAGCACTGATAGTCAGTTTGCTCAGCAGTCTACGTTCCAAAAATGTCTCTAATAATTACAGTACCTTTACAATTTTTATATAATTTCAATTTCAAAATTCACCACCATACTATTTAGTATCTCCACGATACTAAAAACATACATATTATGTTTAATATATTTTTATAATTTTTTTTTAATATCTAAAGTAAACCCAACGACACCATACCGTCAAATAGTTTCAGTTATCGGATTAATTAATTGATATCATATAATAATAAAAACAGGAGTCATCAAAAATGCACATATAAGCTGTCGTCATAGCGGATAATGCAACGATTTAAAATGGATGCACATGCCGTGGAAAACACAACGTGATATTCTCGTCTGAATACGTTGGTCTCACGAGAATGATACTATAAATAACTAGAGTACAAAAATAGTACAGCACCGTTCCTGAAAATGAGATAGTAAAGCACGAGTGGAAGAACAAAAGTTTACAGTAGAGACGTGCGTGTCAGTGCGTATATGTCAGAAGTACATTGAGTGCATTACGCCAGAATAACTCATAGAGTCGAGGTAGAAAAACATCTTCCCGGTTAAAAATTATTTTTATCCATCCCGTAAGACTTCGAGTTGGCGAACCCACGTGATCTTGTCGGAAGGCCATGAATTCCACGTTGGTCACAATGGCCGCTTGAAGTCCAGGGTTAAGCCGTGTCCGTTCGTCATAACGTCTGGCAGCGAGTGAAAGTGTTATGGAAAATAGGAGTTAGCTTGATCCACCCACTGTTATCCTGATAGGTCACGTTGCTATCGCCAGACTAGAATACATCGTGTACGACCTCAGGCATCGTACAGTCAGTCGTCGTATCAAATCAGCACGTGGAATCGATTCGTAAAGCTACGTCGCTAGATTGAAGTAGCAAAGAGCACAAAGTAAGGTCTGACCAAGATTGCTACGGCAGACACGTGACTATCGAAATAACAATAAATCAGCAACGCCACAGCCCAAACCAATAAAGATACGATAAACCTTCGACTTTCCGGTACAGGTAGCAGAGCGATGGACTTTTTGACTTTAATTAGCCAGCGATTCAGGGCCCTTGGAATATTCCCATTAAGCCTAGAGATTGGATGTCCGTGACCTTCGCATAGAGGTGTTATGGACTTTTTATCCTGACGAAAATTCGTCCCCTCGTCGTTCTACGTGATAACGACGAACTGCATGAATCTCAAAAGTCCCGATGAAAGTTGTGCAGGTAAAGCCGATCCGTCTGTCTGTCGCCAGTGAAGATGATCTTATTCACGCGGTGTAAAATAAGTATAACTCGGTCTCGTGATAATTGGTCGAAGTTGACACAGAAAAGCGTTGGAAAATGGGCCAAACGGTATCGTAATGGTCAGCAGCCAAAGGCCTTGACTTGGATTCAGTCGAGCCGTCGGCAAGATTTGCTATACGGCCTGGACCACCAGCACTGTTTATAATTCATAGGACGACCAGCCGTACGAATTCGCTCGTGCGAAGCATAGCGAATTCTGAGCTCCACCGCTTGATACAGCATCCCGATCCATTTTCATCTTTCTCTCATCTCGTTAAGTACCACGTCATCTGGTTGTGTCTTAGAGAATGCGGTAGTGTCCATTTCCTTGATCGAGCCTCCTCGAATTCCTCAAAGAACCGGGTGACGTCTTCCGCTATATTTGCTGAGGTAAATCGATCGGAAAAAATAATAAATAATATCGATACGAGTAACAGTCTCGATATTAATGGGAAATCTATACCTATATACAAATACAGTCTAATCACTTTGTCATCCGACCGACGTCCCGTGTGCGCGTCGATTTATTCATAGATTTATTTAAGGACCCCAAAGACCATGCCCTTTGTCTTTCTTTTATAGACGACGTAGTACCTCGTGGCTTTCTTAAATTTGACGACGTCGTAAAGGAAGATCGATTGACCGTAGTTTACGTGCAGAGTTTTATTATGTTTGCGTCAAGTGAACATTCGAGGGAGCCAACTTGTCGTGGGTTAGTGCGAGTCTAAAACAACGTAACCTCCTTTAGAAATAACATGAGCTTCAACGTTGAGATAAGGATAAATCAGTAAACAAAATTTTCTATCGTATGTATTTTTGCGATATCCAATGATTCCTATGGTAATTGCCACGAACATGGTCACGAGTGAATGATTTATTACGTGCGAAACAGCAAACGAACCTAATCGAAATTAACGGAAACTCCACGTACGTTCTGTACACGCACGTAAATAAATGACCAAGTTTCTATATACTCACGTAGGTACATACCTATTGTAGATGTATCTACGTAACACGAGGATTCAATCGATTTCGAGTTGGCTCTCTTCCAGGTACTGACTAGTTAAATTTCAAATTAACTTTACGCTTCCTCGACCTGGTAAAGAGAAAAGAGAAGCCTTGTGTGTCCGTGCGGCTTCGTAGGATATGAGGTTGATCCATCGTAGAAAATCAAATAGCCGATTTTACAAAGCGTTCCCGAGAGGACCAAGGACTTTTAAGATTTTTACTATCGAGCAAAGGGAAAAGCTTTGACCGAAGTTCCAAGTTTACCGGAACCACCAAGTATATGGCGGTTCTGCCAATAATTTTGTAAGCATAAAATACTTCCTTTTTTTCACGTTTTTCTCCAATATTAATTTTCTCTAAATCCACCCTCACGTGTCTAACGCATGTGTATGTGTACATATATGCTAGCTACACTAGAGAAAAATATATATATTAAAAACTATCCCTATGCTGCGACACGTGTACGCCCCAATTCTTCTACTTGGTCTTTTAATAATTTTACATTCGAGTGGAGTAGCGTTGCGCAACGATATAAAAGCTGAAGAAGGGTTCAGGGGCCTATTTTACGTATTTTCCCTTTATTTTTCATTCCTCTAT